TATTCGATGTGGTTTGGGACTTTATTTAGAAGTTTGGTGATGTTTTAGTGACCAGAAATATGCCATAGAAACTTAACTCCCATTAATATCAATTAGCCTATGATAAAATAGGTCTCGCTACATGTCATTTCACTTAAAGTCTCAATTTCCAATGATCTATCAATGATCATAAGTGAGGACTTACTAAATATGGTTCCTAAGAGCCTTCTGGTAGTTTTGAATGATAAAAGAGGGGTGTGATGGATACTCTCTGTGTTCGTGTTGCTGAGGTCCCACTCTTGGGCCACTCCTGACTTGGTATGGAATATCCTTAGTATCTCATCTCTGATTGCTGCTATGAACTAGTCTTGCTGTCATCACACTAGTTGGAAGATAATAATAATAATAATAATAATAAAATAATAAGAAAGAAGAAAAAGAAGAAGAAGAAGAAGAAGACGACGACGAAAACTATACTTACTATGGGCTGATACTGTATATTAATTGGTATGTACTTCACATAAACCCTGTGAGTTAGGCAATATTTTTATTATTTATTTATGTTTTTTTATTTTTTAATTTTTTTTGAGTCAGGTAATATTTTGATGCCCAATTTATCAGTGAGGAAACTGAGGTATATAGGTAGATTACATAACTTGCCAAAGCTCATATAGCTAACAAGTGACAATGCTCAGATTGTGAGGAGAGCATTCAGGAGGCTGTTGCAAAATTGTCAACAAAAGATGCTTACGGCTTGGACTGGAATAATGACAGTGGGGAAGCGTTAGGGTAATGGACTAAGATATATAAGATTTATCTCTAAAATACTACATTTCTAATTTCTTGATATACATTTTAAATTTCTTAAATTTTATTATGGTAAGAACACTTAATATGAGATCTGTCCTCTTAAAAATTTATATGTAGAATACAGTATTGTTAACCATTGCCTGGTATACTTTTCAATTTGACTATCTTGCTGTTGCCTCAATTTTCTACTAATACTCTTTTTACCTGTTTTTCATACTCCTGTTAGAGGTATTATTATTTGCAATAATTCAGACCCAAAACACTGTGTAAGATTTTTCTATTTCTCTCTCTCTTCCTTCCAGTGAGTGAACAGTCACAAAGCCCATGCCAAGATACCTTTTGCAAAGTCTTCATAATTCATCTCATCATTTCCATCCTCAAGGCCTTGTCTATAGAAATCTGAAAACAGACCTATTCACACAGAACACTATTGGCAGGCTGACTGCACTGTACTACCAGTATTTACCGTGGTCCTGAATCTAATCCTCAGCTATGTCTACTGGGAAACTGGATTTGGGGAGAAGGCGGAGAATGGGCCACATATTGTTCTTAGGTCCATTTTATGAGATGGGAACGGTTTAAGATGTGATAGAAGAGGGACTTAATAGGGATAGAAAAAGAGAAATAACCATAGCTAAGACCCGGTAAATGTGGTTTTTTGGAAGTCAGATTTCTGCTATGGTCATGCTGTAGCTCACAGGATTTCCTACTGATCAGAAAGCCTTTTACTTTCCTCTGACTAAAACATCAAGGTCCTATGTTTTACTATCAAAGACAGGATAGCAACATGAAAATACTTACAGATTAAACACAAAAAGCATTAGATTTTTCAGATGGAGAGAATAGCATAATTTAGTTCTTATATTTGTTTTGTGTTTTATTACATCTATGTATTGAGTCTATGTGTCAGTCACTTTACTTCTACAATTTCAGTCTTCAGAACAATCCTGTAGGAGAGGTCTAATACTCTCTCTCCTTCCTTGACAGCTGAGAAGACTGAAGGTCAGAGAGTTTCAGTGACTGGCCAGAGGTTACACAGTTAGAAAATGGCAGCATTCAGGTTCCACTATGTCTGACCCCACAGCCTATGTTTTAGCCACTCCAACCCACTGCTTCTGATAACAGAAAGGCATAGGAAACTTAAACAAATATCTTGAGAAGTTTTAACATTTCAGCTTAGAGTAGAAAACATTGGTGTTTTCAGTAAACTGTCTCTGACAACCTAATTAAAGTCAAGGGAATTTGAAAATATCCCCTCAAGTCTCTGCTACTCTATAGTTCTGTGATATTATTTCAGTTGTTTTGACTCTAAGTAAAAAGAGAAAGTGGTCAACAAAGTACCCTTTTACACATGTAAGAATCACATTTAGTAAAGCTATTATAGTATTGCTCATGCAAGTCCATAGGATTTGAAAACAATCTTTTTCTCCTATTTTAGGAAAAAAACCATAATGGGTTTTGGAAGTTATGCATTTAGTTAACAGATGCTTAAACACAAGGATATGTTTTATAAAAATAAATTCCGTAGAAGAATCTTAATTAGCAGAGCCATCCTATAGTAATTATCTATAGTAATTATCTGGATTTGATTACAAAGGGTTTCTATGTATATGTACACTCATTTCTTACAAAATGCATTGTGAGACTGTTAACTTCTATTTACTTGGGTAACAGTTAATCTAGTCATAAATACAAAATAAATCATTCAGAATAAATAAGCTACAAAATATATTGAAATAAAAAAATATATAGAAAGAATAAATGTACTTAAACAAATACAGATTAGTGGTTGTTTATGACTTCCTTCTCATATAAACATAAATTTCTAAAGTAGATTCTTACACTGATATGTGAATATGATTATTATTTTAACTTTGTTTTTATGGGTAATTGAAAATAAGTATTAAAAATTGGTGCAAGTTAACTGACCAATACAAGGATGGTATATAGTTACTCTGGCATATTTACATTTCTACTTATTAAGGCTATATGTAAACATAATAGAGAAAGTGCATTTTAGACATGTGAAACATAATAATTCCTCTGGCTGCCACATTTTTGTGTTAATAATAATTCAGATTTCTTCCCTAACCTAGTTTTCTATTTAAAAAACTGTTTAATTCAGAAAACTGAGACTAAATCCTGAGCCAGTTCTGGTGTTAACTAAAATCAGTTTATGTAGATCAGCTTTCTATGAGAAACCTTGTCTTACCTTGTCCCTATCAGATGATGATTGCCTACAAAATAAGAAAACCCAAAGGTTCTTCTTTTCTGGGCCTTCTCTTTTATTTAAAGTAAATTTCTCTTTTGAGATCATATGATATGGAAGTGAGGAGCAAGAATTCTACAGCCCTAGTGCCTGAGTTTGAATCCCAGCACTGCTACTTACTAACTGTGAGATCTATGGCAGGTGCCATGTCTCATTTTCTTCATGGAGATAATAATAGCAGTACATGTCTCTTAGGATCGCCATGAAGATAAAATAATATCTAGTGCCTACAATACAGGAAGCACTATATAAATAGTCATTTTTATTGCACAACCCAAGTTTTGTTCAATGGTTATTTTATTGATGTATAATATATATGCAGAAAGGAACTCATAAGTGTTCAGCTTACTAAAATTTTATAAGCTGAATAGTCCTGTGTAACCAGCATGTAAATCATATAACAGAAACTAGTACTTTAAAAATCCTCTTCATGTCCCCTTCTAGTCACTACCCTTCTCTAAGGATAACCAATATCTTGACTTCTGATTAGTTTTTTTAATGGCTATTTGTTGAACTTTGAAATTGTAGCAATTGATAAGGGACTTATTGTAATAGCATTTTATCTTTTATTTAGTATCCAATACAGACCTATTTGCTGATTAATCGTTGAATACTTATAATAATAATAAATATAATACATACAAATAAAATTTTACAGTATAATATATAATATGATAATAAAATATAACATTTTAATGTATTTTGTTCTACAGGTTGAAAAAGCTCCTTGAACAAGAAAAGGCTTACCAAGCCCGCAAAGAAAAGGAAAATGCTAAGCGGCTCAATAAACTAAGAGATGAGCTTGTAAAACTCAAGTCCTTTGCACTCATGCTGGTGGATGAAAGACAAATGCATATCGAGCAACTTGGCCTGCAAAGCCAGAAAGTACAAGATCTTACTCAGAAACTGAGGGAAGAAGAAGAAAAGCTCAAAGCCATCACTTCCAAATCCAAAGAAGACAGGCAGAAATTGCTCAAGTTAGAAGTGGATTTTGAACACAAGGCTTCCAGGTTTTCCCAAGAGCATGAAGAGATGAATGCTAAGTTGGCTAATCAAGAGTCTCACAACAGGCAACTTAGACTCAAGTTGGTTGGCTTAACTCAAAGAATTGAGGAGCTAGAAGAGACCAACAGAAATCTTCAAAAGGCAGAGGAAGAACTTCAGGAATTAAGAGATAAAATTGCCAAAGGGGAATGTGGCAACTCCAGCCTCATGGCAGAAGTGGAAAATCTTCGGAAACGTGTGCTTGAAATGGAGGGTAAAGATGAGGAGATCACTAAAACTGAATCCCAGTGCAGGGAATTGAAGAAGAAGTTGCAAGAGGAAGAACATCATAGTAGGGAGCTCAAACTTGAAGTTGAGAAGTTACAGAAGAGAATGTCTGAACTGGAGAAATTGGAAGAGGCATTTAGCAAAAGTAAATCTGAATGCACCCAGCTACATTTAAATCTGGAAAAAGAAAAGAACTTAACCAAAGACTTGCTAAATGAATTGGAGGTGGTCAAGAGTCGAGTCAAAGAACTGGAGTGTTCAGAAAGTAGATTAGAAAAGGCTGAATTAAGCCTAAAAGATGATCTTACAAAGTTGAAGTCATTTACTGTGATGCTGGTTGATGAAAGGAAAAATATGATGGAAAAAATAAAGCAAGAAGAGAGGAAAGTGGATGGACTCAATAAAAATTTTAAGGTAGAACAAGGAAAGGTGATGGATGTAACTGAAAAACTAATTGAAGAAAGTAAGAAGCTTTTAAAACTGAAATCTGAAATGGAGGAAAAAGTATACAATTTGACAAAAGAGAGAGATGAGTTAATAGGCAAACTGAAAAGTGAAGAAGAAAAATCATCTGAATTAAGCTGCAGTGTTGACTTATTAAAGAAGAGACTAGATGGAATAGAGGAAGTGGAAAGAGAAATAACAAGAGGAAGGTCTCGAAAAGGACCTGAGCTCACCTGCCCAGAAGATAACAAGATTAAGGAACTAACACTTGAAATCGAGAGACTGAAGAAACGTCTCCAACAGCTGGAGGTGGTGGAAGGAGATTTGATGAAGACAGAGGATGAGTATGATCAACTAGAGCAGAAATTTAGAACTGAGCAGGATAAGGCTAACTTCCTCTCTCAACAACTGGATGAGATAAAGCACCAAATCGCCAAGAATAAAGCAATAGAGAAAGGTGAGGCTGTGAGCCAGGAAGCTGAGCTGAGACACAGATTTCGATTAGAGGAGGCTAAAAGTCGAGACTTAAAAGCCGAAGTACAAGCTCTTAAAGAGAAGATTCATGAATTAATGAACAAAGAAGATCAGCTTTCTCAGCTCCAAGTGGATTATTCTGTCCTTCAACAAAGATTTATGGAAGAAGAAAATAAGAACAAAAACATGGGACAGGAGGTCCTCAATCTGACCAAAGAATTGGAGCTTTCTAAGCGTTATAGCCGAGCTCTAAGACCCAGTATGAATGGAAGAAGAATGGTAGATATACCTGTGGCATCAACTGGAGTACAAACTGATGTGCTTAGCAGTGAGGCAGCAGAGGAAGAAACGCCAGCAGTATTTATACGGAAATCCTTTCAAGAAGAAAATCATATCATGAGTAACCTTCGACAGGTGGGATTGAAAAAACCTATAGAACGATCCTCTGTTCTAGACAGGTATCCTCCGGCAGCAAATGAGCTCACAATGAGAAAGTCTTGGATTCCATGGATGAGAAAAAGGGAAAACGGGCCTTCAGTCACTCAAGAGAAAGGGCCTCGAACAAATTCCAGTCCAGGGCACCCAGGAGAGCTGGTTCTTTCACCAAAGCAGGGCCAGCCCCTGCACATTCGGGTGACGCCAGACCATGAGAACAGTACTGCGACCTTGGAGATAACAAGCCCAACGTCTGAAGAATTTTTTTCTAGTACCACTGTCATTCCTACATTAGGGAATCAGAAACCAAGGATAACTATTATTCCATCACCAAATGTTATGTCTCAAAAACCAAAAAGTGGAGATAGTACTCTCGGCACAGAACGAGCCATGTCCCCAGTCACAATTACCACATTTTCCAGGGAGAAGACCCCGGAAGGTGGAAGAGGTGCATTTGCGGACAGGCCCACGTCCCCCATTCAGATAATGACAGTGTCTACATCAGCAGCGCCAGCTGAGATTGCAGTCTCTCCCGAATCTCAGGAAATGCCCATGGGAAGGACTGTCCTCAAAGTCACCCCAGAAAAACAGACTGTTCCAACTCCAGTAAGGAAATACAACTCCAATGCCAATATCATAACCACAGAAGACAATAAAATCCACATTCATTTAGGTTCTCAGTTTAAACGATCCCCTGGGACTTCAGCTGAAGGAGCAAGTCCAGTTATTACTGTTCGACCTGTCAACATGACAGCTGAAAAGGAGATTTCCACTGGCACTGTCCTTCGCTCTCCCAGGAACCATCTCTCATCACGACCCGGTGCAAACAAAGTGACAAGCACGATCACCATAACACCAGTCACAACCTCATCTACTCGAGGAACACAGTCAGTGGTGAGTAGAGAGGGTCTAAAGTGCAGGCCCAGGGAGGGAGGAAGACTAGTGAGAATAATCCACCACCCGAAACAAAACTAAAGGCATGTGCCTCTTGGGCACCTGAACCCTGTAGGAGAGGTTTCCTTGAGAACTGGTTACACTGAGAAATGAAAAGAAAAAGTAGCCTAATGTTTTAATAAATTCAGTTAATTTTGAGGGGAAAAAATTTTTTTCATGTAAATTATGGAGACCCCAGAAATACTTGCAAAGATGGGCTCTTTGTATTATCAGCATGTAGTGGTAATGTTTAAAGTTTGATTTTTATGTTTAAAATACTTTTTTAAAATGGAAATTGGGGAGAAATGGTCAATATACAAGAAAAACTAAAACTGTTCCTGGGTTATGTTTCTATGACCTAAAATATTCAATATGTGATTATGTATGGCCATAGTCATACTTTATTCCAAAAAATGAGAGGAAAAGATCTTAATATTAAAAACTTTTTAAAAGTAAAAAAGAAGGGTTTATATGTCTAAACATTATATTTTATTAATATTATCTTGCACAGAGCAGATGCTTGATACATTTTACTTGATAACCATATGGACGATTAAATGAATGATTATTTAAAAAAGCATGTTTAATGTGTAAAAGCTAGAGCTTAAAAATAAATTATATATTTTTTTCAAAATACTTCCAGTGATTATCTTCATTTATTGGAGACAAATTGGTAAATGAAATTATAGAAGAGCATGTATTATTTAGGTATGAATTTAAACTAATAGACTAGATATTATGATTCCTGGACTCTGAACAAATTCTCTAGCATATGTTAGAAACTCTTAAGAAACACAGGAAGCTTATCATTTAAGTAGAGAAACTATGGCTTATTTTCCCATATCTTCGATATAATTTAATCCTCTGTATACAAACATAGACTCAAAAAGTGTGAATTTCTAATTGCTTTGCCAGTAAAACTTTTCATTATTGGCTCTATGAGAGCTGAATAGCATTCAGAATTGCTTGCCCTTCTCAAATGATTCAATATTGGTTTTTAGGCAGCACAAAGCAGAACTTGAATTTTTATAAAAAGACAGAGGAGGTCTAAATTTTAATTTAGAGCATATTTTTCTGCTAGAATAGCTTGTTACCATTTTAAGGGCCAGATAGCCTTACCTTTTGCCACAACAGTTTGACTACTGATTAAACCCCATTTACAAAGAGGATTTCAAAACAGCTGAGATTTCTAAGGCCTGAATAATGAATGGTCCACCTACTTCAGGTATATCAGATCCCATAAAATCAAGGACAACAAAAAGTTTGCGATGCCCCTCTTAGAAATCAAATAGAGAGGTTAGTTCATTTGTGCATTTATTCATTCAACATTTACTGAGTGTTAGCTACACTTTAGCCACTCGGTTAGATGCTGATTGCAAAGAGGACTTTTTAGAAGTTCTCAATTTAGTTGGAGGGATTGGAACCTACCTAGTGGTTCTATGGCAGAGATATATACAGAGGAACCACTAGAGAAGGCTTCACAGAGGAAGAAGTGCAGAGCAGATGCTTGATACATTTTACTTGATAACCATTTGGACGATTAAATGAATGATTATAAAAAAAAAAGCATGTTTAATGTGTAAAAGCTAGAGCTTAAAAATAAATTATATTTTTTTTCAAAATACTTCCAGTGATTATCTTCATTTATTGGAGACAAATTGGTAAATGAAATTATAGAAGAGCATGTACTATTTAGGTATGAATTTAAACTAATAGACTAGATATTATGATTCCTGGACTCTGAACAAATTCTCCAGCATATGTTAGAAACTCTTAAGAAACACAGGAAGCTTATCATTTAAGTAGAGAAACTATGGCTTATTTTCCCATATCTTCGATATAATTTAATCCTCTGTATACAAACATAGACTCAAAAAGTGTGAATTTCTAATTGCTTTGCCAGTAAAACTTTTCATTATTGGCTCTATGAGAGCTGAATAGCATTCAGAATTGCTTGCCCTTCTCAAATGATTCAATATTGGTTTTTAGGCAGCACAAAGCAGAACTTGAATTTTTATAAAAAGACAGAGGAGGTCTAAATTGTAATTTAGAGCATATTTTTCTGCTAGAATAGCTTGTTACCATTTTAAGGGCCAGATAGCCTTACCTTCTGCCACAACAGTTTGACTACTGATTAAACCCCATTTACAAAGAGGATTTCAAAACAGCTGAGATTTCTAAGGCCTGAATAATGAATGGTCCACCTACTTCAGGTATATCAGATCCCATAAAATCAAGGACAACAAAAAGTTTGCGATGCCCCTCTTAGAAATCAAATAGAGAGGTTAGTTCATTTGTGCATTTATTCATTCAACATTTACTGAGTGTTAGCTACACTTTAGCCACTCGGTTAGATGCTGATTGCAAAGAGGACTTTTTAGAAGTTCTCAATTTAGTTGGAGGGATTGGAACCTACCTAGTGGTTCTATGGCAGAGATATATACAGAGGAACCACTAGAGAAGGCTTCACAGAGGAAGAAGTGTTCACAGATAAAGGGAGATTTTCAAGAAGGAAAAAGGAAGTAGTATGTAGAGAGGACAGCATGTGCAAAGGTATAGCAATGTGAAGGAGCCTGGCATGTTTGGGGAAGAGTGAGCAGTCCCACTGTGCTGCAGCCATTGGGCCTGGAGACAAAAATGCAAGAGCAGTAAGTAAATAGAGAGGCAAACTTGGGGCAGATATTGAAGAAGCATGTGTCTTATTATGAAATTGACATTTAATCTCATAGAGTATCCAAAGGGAACCATTGAAAGGATAAAGATGATTCTAAAAACATTATATATTACTTATATTTCTGAAAGATATGTCTGTAAAACAATTTAAAAGAAAAATTGGAGGGGACAGATGTTGAGGACAGAAATACTGTTGCAATTTTCTAGGCTAGAGATGGTGTAGATTTGAACGATGGTAGTGAAAATGAGAACAGAGACAGAGACGTGTTGAAGACAGAATCTAAGATTTCGTGACAAATTGAGTATGGAGGATGGCACTGAGGTTTCCGGCTTGGCCGTGTGGATGGATAGGATGAGAAAAAATGGAGACTACTGTTTGGTGGAGAAGATAAGTAATGTTTGAGGCATGTTATATTTGAGATGCCTGAGAGACCCTGGAAATGTCTAGCAAGTGGTTGGAAATAGAGATTTGTATGGTAGGAGAGCATCAAAGGCTTTGGGTCCTGGGACTCATCAACACGTGGGGTGATAACCGAGGTGATTTTTGGGGTGAAAGTGAAAAATTAAGAGAGAGCTGAGAATGGAATATGTTAACACCCACATTTGGAATGCGGGCAAACTAGAACGAGGAGCCAGCAAGAGATTGAAAAGGAGTCGCCAGAGACAGATTGTGAATGAGTGAGACTCAAGGAAGAAATCACAGCAAGAGAGTTTCAGGAACACTTCATTAGTGAAAATAAAAAATGTGAAGAGTCTGGCATTCTTAGGCGGTGAAAGGAGAGCTGTTTCATATAAAGAAGGTGGGGAGAACTTGGGGAACAGTAAAATTGCCTGAGTTTATGCCAGATGGCCTGTATTTTCTCTGCGAAGTAGGAGATCAGGTCATCTCCAGTAAGGGTAGAAGAAGTAGGGTAGGGGCTTGAGAAGTGGAAAAAGTTTGGGATAGATGTTTCAGGAGAGAAGAAAGGGAAGCAATCAGAGTGGATTACATACTGACTCCAAGCTTCTAACAATTTTATCTGGGGAGGGGTCATCTGTGGCTCTTCCTCTGTGGCGAGAGTCCTGCTAATGTTCAGACTGATGGCATAGCCAGGGTAAACTCACCACCATCTCTCTTGTGTTTCTGTATCTTCTTTCTTACAGTCAGGACAAGACGGGTCATCTCAGCGGCCTACACCCACCCGCATTCCTATGTCAAAAGGTATGAAAGCAGGAAAGCCAGTAGTGGCAGCCCCAGGAGCAGGAAATCTGACCAAATTCGAGCCTCGAGCTGAGACTCAGTCTATGAAAATAGAGCTGAAGAAATCTGCAGCCGGCAGCGCAACCTCTCTTGGAGGGGGGAAGGGCTGAGGGCAGTAGCTGAGGGGGTATGTTGTGCAGATGCTACTGCTGCGGTGAAAACAAACCTTCGTCGTTCGTGCCAACTCTTTACATGTACTAATTTAAGTTTTAAATATCTTGTTTGTAAAATAATCTACTAATAGCCATGTGTCTTTCCTATTTTGTGAATTTGTTTTCATGCTGGGGAACAGAACTAACTAGCAAAACTACTGTTTGCTGTGTGCTTGGTTGACGATGCTGGGCCTGAGGCAGCGCCTGACGTCTAGTCCCAGTTTTGCTTCTGGAAAGTGGTTCCATCAGTTAACCCATCTGAACCTGCTTTTTTGTCAGTAAGATATAGGAGCTGGATCACATCCTCTCCAAAGCCAGCTCCCATATTTCCTAATTGTAAATCAAATTTAATAGGCCTTGTTCCACAATAATTGATTTTTCAAAAATTCTATTATGAAATAGAAAATAGTCTAACAATTGTCATTTGCCTCTATCAAATCCAAAATTTGTTTCATGTGCTGGAAAAAACATCTCCTAGCTATCACAGAGCCTGGATTTTTAAAGTTTTGAAAAAACAAAAGCCTCTGAGATGATTTCAGGAAATAATCTGAATGTAAAATAAAATGGAAATGAAATATGGAATCCTAAAAACAGAGTTTTACTTATTTGTGTGTGTCTGTGTGTATTGTAGGTGTTTTGGCCATCTCCAAAACGTTCCCAGAATTTCATAGACAATAATTTTAGAACCATTAATGTCAGACTCATGCTCTATTCAAGTGAACAATTGATTTAAATTGTGGAGCAGTTTGAATAGAGCTGACAAATGGCTCTTTATAGCTCAGCAGAGGTTGGAACGGCTAGGAAATAGCAGAAAGTAAATTCTGATACATTAATGCCAAGAAAAAAGTGACATCATGCATAACTTAATTGAATTCGAATATTTCCCTCAGTTAACTGTGGACTTTACTCACAAATCTAAAACCAATTCATGATTTGTGTGTGTGTGTGTGTGTGTGGTGGAGAAGTGGATCATTATTCCTGTCAGTTTTACTTGTGTTTGTATCATTTTCATTAATTTTAAGCATGTTTTGATCAGCATGAAATAGTGTGTGAATGCAAAATGCCAGGTGTCTTTGTGAGATTAACCGTGTTAAAGTGGATACTGCTTCATAGTCAAATAACAACAAATGAGCTCAAGGCTAATAACCTGTAGCTTAGCATATGGGGACTTACATAGGCAATATTTTTGTCAAAATCTTTGAGTCAGTGGGTGAACTTTACAAAAATACAATAACTACAAAGTTACAGGTTATTTTTCCACTTCTGAATTGTAAGTGTTCCAAAATTATTTGGATAGTTCATGCTCTTGATATTTGAGAAAAGATAGTTTAAACACACACACACACACACACATATGATTCATTTTTAGCCCATGATTCATCATGCTTCATGGTAAAGAGGCTCTTCTAAGTTCTTTCTACACTGGATTTCCTATTCCTTGCAGAACTTGGACTTGAACTGTACACGATGGTGGTAGATGCCTCACACTATTCACAGTCACTTTAATCCGATTTCTTTTGCCTACAGGTCATCAGTTCTTAGCGTATGTGTTTTAAAATGTTGGGCAACTAAGGTAGACATGCCATAATAATGGGATTTCAAGGTAGAAGGAGAGAGAGAGAGAATAAAGACTTCAAGAAATGATTTTGAACAAGTATAAACAAGAGAGCTTGGCAATTTAGGTACTGATCTGTATATTTTTAAAAGGAAATTTCCCCCTTTTGTAAAGTGGACTTCCATCCCTTTCAAAAACGAGGACATTCTCTGACATTTAGGGTATTTAGTGTTACTGTACCATAACATACTCTATTTAGACAAATGAAACTGTCAAAAGTATGAAACATCGCATTCCTTTTGACTTTACCTGCCGTTTTTCAGTGACTTATCATAATCTTACTGTCACTGTTGCTGTTTTTGCTTTTACCTGCTCACACCATGCTTACATCGTTTCTGCCTGGAAATCCATACCATCTGCAGGGAGAGTGCTCCGAAAGGCTTAACAGTGCATGTACAGGATGTTTATACATCTGGATCTTGGAATAGAGCCACCTACAAAGTACAACTGCTAAGAAAACTTGGCAGAACAACACATATTCGCTTTTCAGAAATGATAAAGAGCAATTGTCATGGCAGTTTTCCTTTGTAATTTTAGAACCAACTCTACATTTATTTGATAACTTTGTTCTAAACCACATATTAGAAATGAAATCCACTGGGAATAAAAGGTGGAGGATTAAATCTACTCTAACTCCAACTTTCACTTGTGAATATAATGTCTTTTAAGATGCAGTTTCATGTGCTTTTATAAGAGTGAATGGGATTAAAAGGTTAGAGTCTTTCCTCTGCCCTGGAATATAGTAAAATAAAGAGAATCTCACCAGGGCTGCTGTGTATAGCTGCTGTTGGGTTCCCGCCCTGGGGAGCAGAAGTGGGGTGGTTGTCATTTCCACAGATTGCAATGTGATGGCACCCCCAGAGGACATGCAGAGCACAATCTGCACAACTGCAGAGGAGGCCCTGGTCTTCTGAGAATTTTCATGTGCTGACTATTTGGGCATATTACGATGGTGGCCATTTAGAATGCATGGTACCAGAAATGTTCCTATATGGAACAAGACCCTAAGAGTGTTTATCATTTCTTGAAAATGACCTTCCTGTCTAGGTCACCTGCTTAAATAGAGTCATTCAATTTCTACTGGTATTTTTATTAGTTTTTCAGTGAGGACAAGTTAATGGGTGACAACTGGGCTCTCCAGAGTGTGTAGTGTCTTTTTTAAAGGCACAGTGTTACCAGATATCATACTTAAATATCTTCAGGAAGGGCATAAAGAAGAGCTTTGATGTGTACTGTAGGAAGAGTATAATTTCAAGGAAATGAAAACATGTCCAAGAATGTAAAATGTACAGAGATTTGAATTTCTCATTCCCTCACAGATTCAGAATACTGGGGAAAGAAAAGAGTGAGTTTGCTGATTCGGAAAACCCTGCGGATATTAGATAAGAAGAGCACCCATATGTGGGGGGAGGCTGGAGGCAGAGGGAGAGAGGAGAGGTAATAAGATGGACACGGAGAAGGTTTCTCCATAAACAAAAATGTATGATTCCAAAATTTCCCCAACCTGGATGAAGTTTACTGTTTACCTCCTACCTCCTCCTCCAGAGACTCCTCATTGATTATCTCCTTGTCCTCTGCTCTTTCATCTTCTTTTCACCTCCACACAGAATATAAATATGCTCTGGCCTCTTTCTTTTTAGCACAGTTCTTCCTTCAGCTGTGCAGTCCGCTGTAGCTACTGCCCCATCTCGCTCCTGCCCAGTTAAGTCATTAACAGAACACTCAAACTTTTCTGCCTTTATTTCCATACTTTCCATTTATTCTTTAATTACTGTTTCTTGTTAAAGTAATTTGTATACATGATTAAAATATCAGCCAGTGCTAAAAGACAATGAAACATCTGTTCCTTAACCTGCTTCTGTTTTCCTCAGTCTTGCTCTCTGGAGCAAATAATTTCTCTTAGCTGTTTCTTCTGATATTTATCTCCATATTTCTAAATAACATACTCGTGCTGTGGCTTTTTATTTAGATATTATTTTTTGTCTTCACATTATAATTTTGATGGTTGAGGATTTAGTCCTTCCACATGTCCCCTCTTTCCTTTTCTGCATCCTTCCAATATGATTACATCACATATTTTTTTATAAAGTAGCAGACAGCATTTGCATGTTTATATTTTTATATGTTTACAGTGTAAATTTAAATATCGTACCATGATAAACCAAGTAGTATACTGTGAATATGTTTCCTTCTTCTTTCCCCCTCAAATGAATAATTGCTTTAATTTTTTATCTGCTTGATTTTCTATGTATCTATCTGTATTTTTTCCAAATGCTCCCATAGATCTGCCAAACACCTCCCAGTAAATTTTCCAAACACTTAAATGCATCAGTTTCATATTTTCTCCTGAAGGCCTTCCTAGTTCAGCTCTCTGCTTCCCTATCTAGTTCAAACTGCTTGTCCTCCAGGCCTACTGCACAATTGTCCTCTTGCCTATGTTGAATCCTCAATTTCTTGGATTTCTTATCTTCTACATCTTTTGCTTAACTGCCTGTCTCTATCTATCTATCTATCTATCTATCTATCTATCTATCTATCTATCTATCATCTATCTATCATCTATCTATCATCTACCTACCTACCTACCTACCTATCATCTATATCATCTACCTACCTACCTACCTACCTACCTACCTACCTACCTACCTACCTATCTTTTGAAGTATATCTTTCAGTAGTTTCTACAGAGAAAAATGCTTTGGTAACCTCCCTGAGGCAGGCTACCTGCATTTTTGGAAATAGATCAGAAAAGATGAAGAATGTCATAGTTGAGTATGTCAACTTTTTCACTTTCCTGTAGTCATTCTGTGCTGCCTATTCGTGTTCCTAGTTTTAGAACTTTTTAGGTCTTTTTTTTTTTCTGTTAGCAAATAAACTTTTAATCTCTGGTAATGGTGAAAGTAAAGTGAAGTTATGCTTTTCTCCTCTGTAACCAAGCCATCTAATTTCTTTTGGTTTTCCTTTGACCTCTCTGACTGAACCACCTGTCTCCCTTGTTTGCTTATTATTTTATGCATACAACTTAAAGGTTGTTGTTCACCTCGTCTCTATCAAAAGCCATTTTCCTAGTCTACATGCTCATTCTGGTTATTTTATGCACCCCATGGCTTCAATTATCACCCATACACTGATGACTGTCAAATAGCTATCTCCAACTCAACTTGTCTAAAAATCATTCTCAACACCTCTCCATC